TTTTTAAGTATGAGGTCTACCGAAAGCTTGGACCGCCTGGGCAACGGAAGCGCAGATTAATGAGCGGCGCGATTTGAAAGTACCGGGCTACGGCGGCGCGGCGGTGGCTGTTGTAGGTGAGGCAGGTGAGGCCGCTGCCGCTCCGCCGGCGCCATAGACCCTTTCAGCGCTCCCACGGTCCCCCCACTCCAGCGGCGCGTCGCCTAGCAACGCGATCCAAACAAACCGAGGTGCGCAGCCAGCGCGCTGGACCGCCCGGCGGCGCACCTTGGTTTGTTTGGATCGCGTTGCTAGGCGACGCGCCGCTGGTGTGGGGGGACCGTGGGAGCGCTGAAAGGGTCTATGCGTCTTGCATCATGCTATTGGTCCACGTCTGCACGACTTAACCTTACTTTGTTTTGCGCTACAAACGACAACTCGGGCCTTACTAACGATTTGGAGGGTACGAAAGTACACATTACATTACATGCACCGACCAGACGATCGACGATTGGAAACACAGATTTTGTGAACACACCTTTCAAATTTGAATGCATCCTCGCCAGCCTATTTTCGTGTTTCTGGCATAAAAATTTCCAACGAATAATTTCACTGAATTAAGCACTCTATCACTGCTACGTGGACATAATAAATGTATTGGACCTTCGTTTAAACAATGAGAACATGTTCCTGGACTCACCTTCTTTACTACACCTGTTCTGTTCAGCTTTGGGCGGCGGGAATACCCGAGCGCACCTTACACAAAGCCACGGTAGAGAGAGATCTCCCTCCACCATGCCCGCCACTCACGTGACCTCCACCCGCCTCCTCATTGGCTGCCGTTGCAGTTGCCGCTCGGAAAAATAACAGCTCGGCTAGCCTTTGCCAAATTGCCCCGTGACCGACAGTCCCCCTTCCACCACTAGACGTGCAGTACAACATAACTACAAATGTGAGCGGGTTAAATAAGCCCACTGGTACAGTGCTACTTATAACCCTCAACCCTCGTGCTTACCTGCTTACTCCGAAGGCGAGTTGGCGGTGCCGCAAACTGGATTTGACTGAAACAAAAGCAATGCGCACCAACGAGACATTACCTGCCCCAAAGTGTTATCTTTTCGATAAAGACTTCGCTGACATGGCCCTCGACAAGGCAGATAAAGGTGAGGTTCGTTTCGTTGCTGGATACGGAATTGAAAGTAAACGCAACAAAATTGACCTGGGCTCGATCAGAAAAGTTTATTTACATCAGCGTTATACAAAGTTTGAGTCAAGAAAACTACAAAAATTGTCGCATATAAGTGTTCTAAGAACACGATGAGATCACAAAGAAACTATTTGGTTCAGTAAGTTAGTACATATCTAGTCATTTCATGACTCTGGTGTGGTTAGTTGTGCTCGTAGACAACAAACGCTAGTGTAAGTAGAGTAGGTAACTTTAGATGTGTGAGTTTGAGAGTATATGGTTTAAATTAATTCGTCCCTGGTAGATTTGATTTTGGTTTAACCCGTTTTCTCCTTAATGACAAATGTTAAAGTATGTTTACTTTTGCAATAACTTTGAGGCAGTGCTTTGTAGAAACATAAGAAACACGTCAGTCTCGATGCGAGTTCAGCCATGAACTAACGAGATGGCAACCAGCAGGAAGCTTACAGAACCCTGTACAGTCCTACAATGTAACAACAGAATACTGATACAGGCAGAAGGTCCCCACACTCCTTCACGAGGTTATCATCAATGGAACTTAACAATACTGAAACTGCCCTCGGGACAATACGGGGAGGTACACAATATTTCTACACCAATGCGGACTGGAATAATATGAAATGTATTCTCTCATAAAATGATAACTACATAAAAAGTGAAAAATTCTAAGACATTGTCGAATGGGGTAACTGTAATGGGATATGCTCTATTTAAAACCCAGAACAACTACTTATCGCACCATTTACGTTCCCTTCGCCGCCCAAAAGCTGCCATGAAAATTATATCATCCAAACAGATAAAAAGATGTGACAGTTTCCATGCCAGCTTCTGCGACCGACAGTTGACACTGAACGATTCGATCAAATATAAGCTACGATCTGCTATTTACATGTACTTTTGTTATATCACGAGTTTTCGTCCGTCACGGACGTCATAATAAATGAATATTATAAATATTAGAATCTATTTAAGTTAGGTACAACCACATGCACCAACCGATTCCGACCTCACTCTTAGACGTTGACAACACTGTCTCTCTTATTTCCCGTTTGCTTGAGCTGCTCTTGCATTTGTGCGAGCATGTCCTGCATGCGTCTTATCTGAAAGAAAGAATCGGAGATCATGAGTCAATGTGAGCTACTTATATCCGCGTCACTTTCGAGTCGTCTCTATTTACCTCCTCGTCCTTCTGGATCAAGAGCCGGTCAGTCTCCGTGATCACGCCGTCGTTGATCACCGAGTCCCTCTTGAGCTTGGAGCCCGGCGCGCGCTCCCGGATGGCCTGCTGACTGATCTGGGAGATGCACTGCGCGCGGAAGTTCTCGTAGTGCACGTCCTCGGTCACGTCCTTGAGGTCCTGCATGTGGGTGGTGATGAGCATGTTGCGGAGCTTGTTGAAGTCGCTGTGCTTCGGGTTCTCCACTGGAAAGGGCAAAAAAACAGAGGTGAAATAGAGAGCATTGCTCTGTGAAAAGGCCTTGGCATTGAAAAGAATTTTGAAGGCCATACAGTGTTATCTTTTCTATTTATTTTTCTTTGGCCTGCGAGAGCCAGACAGACTGATAAGCGGATGTCGACTGACGGTTTTGTAGGTGTTTGTATCGGAAGTAGTAGGAAGCGACTCGCCCCTTCCCCTCCCTCCCTAAGCCTAAACGTACCTTCCACCACTCCCCATGGGTACTGGCGGCCGCGGACCTTCTTGCCGCCGACCTCCAGCACGGTGTTGGAGCCCACCACGGCGAAGGGGACGCAAGCCTTGAGCTCGCGGTCCTGCGTCTTGAACTCCTCGTCCTCGTCCGAGTCGCAGTCGGGGAACTGGTAGATCTAAGGACAAAGGCACGAGTGCATTTAGAGAGGCCATGAGCCCCGAAAAAATAAAATCCCGCACTTAAACAAAACGTGAGTTCTGCGTTTACCTGTATCTTGTGCTCCTCGATGTCCGCAAGTATCTGCCTCTTGAGCTTAATGACCTCGTTCTCCGTGAGCGTGTCGGCCTTGCCGATGACGGGCACGATGTTGACCTTGCGGTGCAGGCGGCGCATGAACTCGAGGTCGATCTGCCGGAGGCCGTGGCCGTAGGGCGGGATGAAGTACAGGCAGCAGTGCACCCGGTTGTCCTGCAGGTTCCTGCGGTTCAGGCCGTTCTCGTCGGTGAAGTACTGCCGGAACTGCTCGTCCACGTAGTTGACGCACGCCTTCCACGACTCCTCGCAGTTTATGCCGTCGCCGAAACCTGCAGAAACGCGTGGAAAATAAGCATCAGTATCAGAAACTGTAGCAGTACAAGAAACAGCAGCAGCCTGCCTCCGATTGCGCAACAGATTGTTTAATTGGACGCGGTGCCCCCTTCCCTCCCCTTCCCCCGTAGTTTTGCTCTGTTTCTTTTGCGGCTGTTCAACCGGCCGGCTCTCTGCTCTGATAGCGGCTGGTGCGACAACGCGGCGCGGCCCGTGCGCCCGCCGCCGGCCAGGCAGCCGCGGCGTGACTCGGGCGTCGGTTGGGTTGCCTACCCTCAGCCGTGTCGCCGCCGACGCACCGCGCAGAGCGCTCGGTCTCGGGTGCGCTTCACCATTGGAGCGTGTTTGTATCACATGTTATCTGCACTATCTCAACGCTTTACCAGGTGTGTCGACGATGGTGAGTCGAAGTTTGACACCGCGCTCCTCGATGTCCATGCTCTTCTTTTCAATCTGGGTCGTCTTCTCGAGTCTCTCTGAAAAGAAAAAGAGGCGTTCAGTTTGACTAGTTTTTCGTCTTGTTTCTGTTTTGTCCCCCTCCAACCACCACGGCACGCGTTTGACTCACCTCCAACCTCGGCGATCTTGCGGTCCTTGTAGAGGTCGCCGAGGAACAGGCTGTTGACGAGCGTGGACTTGCCCAGCCCGGACTCGCCTACGACGAGCAGCGTGAAGTCGAAGCCGCGCTTGACGGACTTGCGGTGCACCTGCTCCGGCAGCGTCGCGAAGCCGATGTAGTCTCTGCTGTCTGGCTGGAACATAGGGCAGGCCGCCCGGGAGGTTAGAACAAGAGACTCGGAAAGTTCGAACATCGCCGGCAGTGTCTCCTCTCGCCCCCCCCC